TGGTGCAGCCACTAAGAAAAACAGTATGGAGATTTCTCAAAAAACTAAAAACAGAATTCAGTCCAGCAGCCCCACTACCAAGTACCTATCCAAACGGAACCAATAGATCAAAGGGATAAAGGGATACAAAGCATTTGCATTTTTATTGCAGCACTATTCACAATAGCAAATATATGAAACAAACCTAAATACCCATTAATGGATGAATGGGTAAAGAAAATGTGGTAAATATACACAATGAAATACTATTTGGCCATAAAAAAGAATGAAATCATATCATTTGCAGCAACATGAAAGGTCATCATATTAAGTGAAATAAGCCAGGCATAAAAAAATAAATATTGTAGGTACTTACTTACATGTGGAAGCTAAAAAACTTGATCACCTGGAGGTAGAGTGGAAAGAGATAATGGAGATTGGGAAAGGCGATTGGGGAAAGGAGAAAGAATGAAAAGAAATAGGTTAAAGGGTACAAACATGCAGTTAGATAGAAGAGATAAAAGCAATGTTTGATAGCAGAGTAGGGTGACTATAGTTAACAAAAAATGTGTTGTACTCAGGTGATAGACAACCTAAATACCCCGACTTAGTCACTGTGCGTTACACACATGTAACAAAATTTCACGTGTACCCCAAAAATTTGCTTAAAAAATTAAAAAGAAGATGACAGAGGAACTAAATAGGGGAATCCTACATAAGAAAAAGGCAAAAAGAATCCCCAAAATGCAATGCGAAAGAGATACCAGGATTACAACTGTGAATCAGCTCTAAAGAACAGAGATCAAGGAATAGACAGATGTCTATGATTTTAAAAATAATAATAAACTTGCTTAAATAATTAATGTGTCAGAACTTAGTGAGAAGAGAAGATCTATACTGTGGAGAATTGGGGGAGTATTAATGATAATTTAAAAGTTAAAAAGAGGTGCTTAGAATCAATACATTGAAGAGAAATTTTGCACTAGACACTTGTTAAAAATAGCAAGGAAGACTTTACTCAAGACTATTGCAATAAAGGAGAGAGATTGAATTCAATTCTAAATACAACAGGGATACCAACCTATGTGACAAGAGTGAGACCCTACCTCAAAAATCAACCAATAAATAAATACAACAGGAATAAGTGGGAATATATCCAAGGGGCATGATGAGGGAGTCACTGGATAGAAACATACTAAAGAGGGACTTGGTTAAGTATCAAGGACATTGGGGGAGAGGAACTTGATTAGACATCAAGGGTATGGAGGAGAGCTTGGTTAGATATCAAAGGTGGTGGGATTCTCTATAAACTGGCTAAGCAGTATCCAATGCTAAAACTAGACTGGGAAAGCCAAAGATTGGGCCAAAGATAAAGTCTAGTCAAAAGGAGGGCTCAGAGGAGCCTGACTACATTTGTTCAATAAGGGAGTCTTTGTCAAATGAGCTCCTTCCTTCCTTCCTTCCTTCCTTCCTTCCTTCCTTCCTTCCTTCCTTCCTTCCTTCCTTTCTTCCTTCCCCCTTCTTTCTTTTGTTCATCCTTTCTTTTGTTCTTTCTTTCTTGTCTGTCATCCAGGCTGGAGTGCAGTGGTGCCATCATAGCTCACTATAACCTTAAACTCCTAGGCTCAAGAGATCTTCCCACCTCAGCCTCCTGAGGAGGTGGGACTACAGGTGCATGCTACCATACCTGGCTAATTTTTGTTGTTGTTGTTGTTGTTGTTGTTGTTGTTATTTCTGGAGATGAGATCTTGGTATTTTGCCCAGACTGGTCTTGAACTCCTGTCCTCAAGTGTTCCTCCCACCCTGGCCTCCCTAAGTGTTGGGATTACAAGTATGAGCCACAAGGCATGGCTATCTTTTAAAAACAAATGCAAAATGTTTGTTTTGTTGTTTTTAATACATTTTTACAGATGATTTCTGTAAACCAAAAATAAAATTCTATGATCCCCCCAACCATCTGAATGGACACCCTCCTCTTGGCCAGGGCACTCCTAAGGTAACCTGAAAGACTGGTTCAGGCCATGACGGGAATGGCAGATTGGACATGCCTCATTATACCCTCCTCCCTTTTGGAATTCAGGAAAAGCTGACCAGCATTTAACATCAACACAAACTCTGAATCTGATAAGAAACATTTGCAATCTATTCTCTTTGACACTTGCTACCTGGAGGCTTCATCTGCATGATAAAACCTTGGACTCCACAACTGCTTATCACAACCCAGACATTGTTTTCTATTGATAATAACTCTTTCAACCAATTGCCAATCAGAAAATTTTTAAATCTACCTATGACCTGGAGGTCCCCTCTTCGAGTTGTCCTGCCTTTCTAGATTGAACTGCTGTAAATCTTACATGTATTGATTGATGTATTATTATGTCTCCCTAAAATGTATAAAAGCAAGCTGTACACTGCCACCTTGGGCACATGTTGTCAGGACCTCCTGAGGCTGTGTCTTGGGTGTGTCCTTTGCCTTGGCAAAATAAACTTTCTAAATTGATTGAGACCTGTCTCAGATACTTTTGGGTTTACATTTCACCCACAGAAATTATGAGAACAAATTTTTATGGAGGCCTAGAAGAAAGCACTATAAACTTTGCAAATAAGTGCAGGAGAGGCAGGTGACAGTGATACGGCATTCCCACCAATAATTACGCCCCCCAAAAAAATGGCTGGTGCGCTGAAGAAAACTTTAATTCCCCTACAGTTTTAACTAGGCTCAGCCATGAACATGGGGAAGGCTGGCATTTGTGCAATGACACTGGGGTTCTCCACTACACATCTGGTCATCCTATCAGTCCCTTAAACCTGCCCACAACCAGTTCCTAAAAAGGAAAAGCAGTGTTCTTTTGCCAGCAAAACTGGGGTTTAGTCGAAAGTGAAAGGATCTATTTGAAAAGGTATATCTGCATTTAAAGAATAAAAGGATCTATCTTTGGACCTGGTAACAAATAAACAAAATCTCAAATGGATAAAGCTTGTGTGATGAGACCAAATTACACAAAGCGAAGAAGCTGAATTTTGTTTAATTTAAATGACAGAGCATAGACATGCCCTGAGTGACATTTTTCTGAAAAAAATCACCCTGAATGCTATGTAGAGGATGGGTTGTAAGGGGGAGCAAACATAGAAGCATGGAGGCCAGTTAGATAGTTACTGCAGCCAGTTATTTGGACTAAGAGAGTAAAGGTAGAGAATAAAAAAGATAATCAGATTTGAGATCCATTTTGGAGGGTGAGTTGACTAGATTTGCTGATGGATGGACACAGGGGTGACAGAAAGGAAGGAATCAATAAGGACTTCTAGGTTTTTAGCTTGAACAACTAAGTAGCTGTCATTTACTAAAATGATAAAGACAAGAACAGATTTGAGAGGGGAATCAAGAATTTTGGTTTCAAATGATTATTAGCTATCAAATTTCATATCAAGGAGGAGGTTAGATATGTAAGTTTGGATCTTAGTGGGGCTAGTGAAATAAATTTGGAAATTGTCATAATTTTGGTGGTTATGAGAGTGCCTAGAATGAGGATAAAGACAAAACAAACAGAGAAACCAAAATCAAGCCTATAGAATACTCAAAAACTTAGGAGTTGAGCAAAGAAAGAAAACCCAAAAGGAGTGAAATAAAACCCAATGGTATGGGAAAAAATGTAAAGAACATGGTGTCAGGGAAGCCAAGGGTGTTTTAAGAGTGGAAGAGTGGTTAACCACATGCCAACTGGTCACGATGGCTAACATCCTTTATGAAATCATTTTGACTAGTCACTATAAATCTTGGTGAAAATGAAAACTATAGTAAGGTTACGTAAGATGAAGGAGGAATGGAATGTGAGAAGTTAGAACAGGATGTGGCGAGATCGTATAAGGAGCCAGGGTTCTTTTTGAAAAAAAAAAAAAGCATCTAATAACTTCCATTCTGTTTCAGAGAGAAAAAGAGAGAGTGCACAGGAAGGAGGCTAAACTTGCTTGCATAACAGTCCCACTCTCTCAATAACCTTAATCCATTCATGAGGACAGAGCCCTTGTGATCTAATCACCTCTTAAAGGCCCCACCTGACAACATTGTTGTATTGAGTATTAAGTTTCCAACACATAAACTTTGGAGGACACATTCAAACCATTGCAGGGAGTTACAAGCACCTCCTCATGAGACTGTCAATATCTCAGAAAAGCTGTGTGGACAGCTCGTGACAGCTGCCCCAATGACTGTTCCATAGGCTCTGGACAGGCGAGTGAGCAACGATGAAGGGTTTGGGTGTTCTCTCTCTTTCTTTGTTCTCTTGAAGGGAGGGATAGGGAAATGAGTCTCAACTCCAAAATCCACAGTGGTCTTACAATTTACCAAGACATAGGGTACTAAATTCTTCTGGGAATGACAAATAACGAAAACCAGGATCAAAAGTCCCCAGTAATAAGGGAAGAAAACATGTGGCCCCACCCTCCAAGGGCAAGAGTGCTGAGGGAAAGCAGGGCTCTCATTCTGAGTGAGTTAAACATCAAAAGGTTTATGTCTGGTCTTGAGACATCAACGGGCCCTTAGTGGGGAGGAAGAAAAACAATGTGGTGTTATTCAACAGTACCTCCAGACCAGTCCCTGGGGAAATTGCTCCAAGTTCCTCAAACAGTGGAGCCAGTAAAATTGAAAGAGTAAGACTACCTCTTGGGGGCCTAAAATATCTGTGGCCACTATGCGAAAATATCAGGTCAGGCCACCCAAGATTTCCAGAGTGGTATTCATTTTGATTGATGGCTTCTTCAACCAGGAGCAGGCCACAGGCTAGAGTGGTAGCAGTGGAGAGCAGAGAGGTAGTCCCCAGAGCAGCAGTCATGAGAGGAGATGGGCCGGTGAGCAGCCTGAAAGCAGAACACACAACAACAGCAGGAAAGCTACAACAGCTGCAGAGGACCATGTGGAAAGGGAGATGCCTCAATGGTTTAGAATTCTATAATAAAACAGTGGTGGTTTGGAAGAAGCCCCAAGACAACTGCTACCAAACCTGTGAAATATAATTTAGTCACCTCAAACATGCCTCTGTGACCTGAGGCTCTTCCTGCTGCCTGGAACGTTCCTCTTGGGCTGAAGTAGGACCAACTTCTTATTCTTAAGGTACGAGCTAAAATGTATCTCAGAGTGGAGGCCATCCCTATTTAAAGATCTCCCTGTGATAGTCTAACACAGTGCTGTTTTTCCTTGAGAGTACTGCATTTCGCTGATTCTGATATATACTTTTTTTCATATTTTAACATCACTGAAGTTGGGATGAATTTTATCATCAAAACTGTGTCATGGTTTAATTGGCCACAGTTTTTCTAAGTGACTTTTTTTAAATGGTGCATTTTATAACCTGTGCCATTTCTATTCAAGAAAATAGAGTTTTCATCACATTCAATGAGTGTTGTTTGTATGTTTAGTGTTTGTTTGTCTACTCTATAAACTGTAGGCTTCTTTAAAGCAAGCACTAGCATGTAGTACAACACCTGGTGCATCATATGTATTCAATAATGATTAATCAAATGACTGAATTCATTCACTTTATTTATTTTTTTTTCGAGACAGGGTCCTACTATCTTGCCCAGGCTGGTCTTGAACTCCTGGGCTCAAGTGATCCTCCCACCTCGGCCTCCCAAAGTGGTGGGATTATAGGCATGAGCCACGGAGCTCGGCCTGAATTCATCAACCTTAGGGTTGTACGGCTCTCAGCGGAAAAACACTGTATACAATATTATGTATAATCAGATGACTTAAGATTTTTGGACAAAATTAAATATACAGTCTCTCTGTCAGATTCACATGTACCCAATATCTTATCTCAAAGTACTGGTGTTTTTGTTTTGGGGATTTTTTTTATTTTTATTTTTTGAGTCTCACTCTGTTGCCCAAGCTGGAGTACAGTGGTGCAATCTTGGCTCACTGCAACCTCTGCCCTCTGGGTTCAAGGGATTCTCCTGCCTCAGCCTCTCAAGTAGCTGGGACCACAGGTGCACACCACCACGTCCAGCTCATTTTTTTGTATTTTAGTAGCATGGGGTTTTCACCATGTCGGCCAGACTGGTCTCGAACTCCTGACCTCAAGTGATCTGCCCGCCTCAGCCTCCCAAAGTGCTGGGATTACAGGTATGGCCCACCACATCCATCTTCAAAGTACTGGTTTTAAGCAGAAATTTCCACACAAGTAGATACCTTAAAACAAAGAACGCTTGAGAACATCTGTCTAAGCAGAACAAAGTTTTTGTATTAGACATTTCTCGGAAACCTACTTTTAAAGGGGAGATATTAATAGAAAGTATTTATGAAGCATCTCTCAGTGTAATGCCCCGGTGCTTTGACAAGTATGCTATTTTTGAACATGGAAAAAACTCATTGTGATACATTATGACCAGTTTCTCCTGCTTAATACTGTAGTTAGGTCTAATCCTATGTTTATAACCTCTTAATCTACTTCCATGGAGGAAATAGATTTCGCCTTATCTATTCACTTGGTACTAACTCAAATAAGTAGAAAAACCAGGGGATTTAATCTTGGCTAAAATAATTTAGCAATTAGCAAATATTTTAAGAAACGCCAATTAGAAACATAGAAAACATAAATGGATTTCAATGCATGTTGATCTTTTTGAAAATTTTCCTCTGAATGAACGTCTTTCTTTAACACTAATGCAAGGCTCTGGATAAATCTTATTATTATGAAAGTCCCCAGTAGTGAGAATTTAAATACAAATTTATGCAAAATGAGAAAAATGGGTCACTTCTGCCATTGCCTTATTCCTGGAATATTTTCTTTTAGCAAAATAGAGCTGAGAATAAAAGTCATCTCAATTTTACAATACACCATATCTCCCTCGTAACATTCAGATAATGATTCTGAAGCTATTTGGTATGATGGATGAAGAAATGCATTCTGAGCTTGGGTGAACCACACTACTCGGGACCTCTGTTTCTGCTTTTGCAAGTCTGACTTGTCAAGGGCCCCTCCCATCTCCTCAGAGACAGCTTCCAGACATCCCTGGTCAGAATCAGTGTCTCCTTCCTCTTCTGGGCCCACTTAACATGTAGTTTCTAGTTCTTGCATAACAATTATGCAGTGAACCCTGTAGTGCAAACGAGTGTGTGTGCATTTGTCTACCTCAGAAGGCTGTGAACTCCTGGAGTATCAGGACTGTTTTCATTCATATTTGGGTCTTGTACATGGAAGATGACTCATATTTTGCCATATCAGATTGAATTGCTTTATAAGGTTAGCTTTGGCTTATTCAGTTTATGCTCCCTAAGGTTTTGTTTTTATGTACTAGTATTGCAGATTAGAGAAAAAACAAAAAAAAACAAAAAAAACAAGCTCATCTCAAACCCTCATGGGTCTTTTTGTGTGACATAGAATGAAGAGCCGAGCTGAGCCCAACCTCAGTAAAGAGAGTGCCTCCACGGGCCCCTGTAGTCCCAGCTACTCGGTACTCGGGAGGCTGAGGCAGGAGAATGGCGTGAACCCGGGAGGCGGAGCTTGCAGTGAGCCAAGATCGCGCCACTGCACTCCAGCCTGGGCAACAGAGTGAGATTCCGTCTCAAAAAAAAAAAAAAAAAAAAAGTGCCTCCAGCAGTTCAGACCAAGTTCATGTCCTGAGGTAAGACTGGCAGGGGCTACCCTGGGCCCTGGAAAGAGAGGGGTTCCTACGAGATGAGAAAAGTATTCCCTTAGGTTCTAAGAGAAAATGGCAATGCTCTATGTGGACCATGCAGCTATTAGAGACCCAGGCACATTTATGCAATCTAATCCTGAGTCAAATACTCATTTTCCAGGTGATGATAGACAAGTCCCTTAAGCCTTCTGATCAGCAGCTTCTTGAACTCTAAAATGGGAAATCTAATATTAAAGATATCCTACAACATGGACTGTTGTGAAAACTAATAAAGACAAAGCCTTCCTTCTCAAGCACTATGAAGCATTCAGTGCTAAGTACAATGAAAATAATGTGGCCAGAGGCCTCGGGCCTGTGCCAGATGGAACCAGCCTTGGCCACTCTTTCCCATATTGCTGCTCCCAGCTGACAGAGGTTTGGCTGAAGATTCTGCCAGGACCCGTGCATCAGTATTCCCACAAGGAGCTGCAGGGCACACACAAGTGTGTGCTGAGAAAGTCCCCAAGAAAGATGGAACCCACATGGGGGCATTGCTGATGCTGTCCCAGAAAACAAGCCCAGGGATTTTCCCAGCTCTATACATTGCTTTGTGTTTATCAGTGCTTTGACTAGCAGCTATTCATTTGTAACATGAAACTCTTAAAATAAAATCTTTTTTATTTTAGCGAGTTTTATTGAGGGAACCTGGCTGCAGGCAGGATTTCAGTCTTATGTCTGCATAAAGCCTAAGCTGTTGGCCAGTGGAAATATTTCCTTAGAAAAACCAAGGTGTTTGATGTTATTTGATTGGACTTCTCACTTCCTAACCAGTTGCCTTGGTGTTGCTTAGATGAAGCCCAGATTAATTTTTTTTCTCGGTCACTTCTTACAAAATCTGAAATCTGAAAGTTCAGCCCTAACCACCTCACAAAATGGTCAGTCTTGTTCTTGACCTCATTAACAAAGGACTGTCCTTCCAACTCACACCAACCTGGGGGAGGAAATAAACCAGACAGCCCGAATGACGACAGAGTGGGATGAAATAACCCCTCCCTGGGACAATGCCTTTTCCTGTTTCTGGAGGCTCCTCCTATTCCCACACTGGTTTCTGCATCCGTTACTTGGCCAGGATCCTCTTTCACATCAAAGTGTCCCTCCTTGGGCTTCAGAAGTAGGGGCATAACCTTAGTTTCTACAGGAAGGCATTTTCATCCCAAAGGAAAGGGGAAAACCATGTGTTTGGTTGCTATACAATTACAAGCCACTTTCCTTGTTTTTCATTTTATAGTCATGCACATGAAAAGTATAGGCAGGCTTTTAGCTACGATGAGCCAAACATTTGGTTCCTAGACTTCTATAGTTTGAGCTGGAAGCATTAAAATAATTCAACTCCAGCCATTCAGTCTTCATTAATAATATTAAATGCCTGAGTTAGGAAAAGTTTTAGCAGAGGATATGATTTTCTTTTTTACTTCAAAAACACATGAAAGGGCATAATCTGGACAGATACTTAAGGAAGAGAGGTTGAAGAATGCCATGCATTCCATCTCAGACTAGGCTATGGGGACTCTTCTTGGGAGGTCTGGGTTTCAATCCAGTTTTGAATGGCTGAACGTAATCGGTGATGGTAGGGCACTACGGCTTTCCCAAAGCTGTCACTCTGTGTCATTATCAAAAGCACTTATTTTGTACCTAATATGTCTATGCGTGACAGATGTTTAAATAGGAATGTCCCTGTCTTTCTGGGGCCTCTGATCTAAAATGGTGCAGATACTCTTGGAAATGGGGTAAACAGCAGAACCTTGGGTGGGAGAGAGCATATCCAATAGTATTTTTTCAGTGTGTAATTAGGGTGGGAGGGTCTAGAAAATTTTAACTGTTGGAGAATACAATTCATTATCATTGGAAGGGTACCCTGTAGAAGAGTATCACATTTGGGGAATGGGAGCTGTTGATCAAAAGATAGCATAATTTTCAGCCAGGCGTGGTGGCTCATGCTTGGAATCCCAGCATTTTGGGAGACTGAGGAGGGCAGATCACTTGAGGTCGGGAGTTTGAGACCAGCCTGGCCAACATGGTGAAACCCTGGGGGTTTTTTTTCATTTTATTTTATTTATTTATTTTTTTGGAGACAGAGTCTTGCTCTGTTGCCCAGGCTGGAGTGTAGTGGCAGGATCTCAGCTCACTTTGACCTCTGGCTCCCAGGTTCAAGCTATCCTCCTGCCTCAGCCTCCCCAGTATCTGGGATTACACCACGACAATGAGCTAATTTTTGTATTTTTGATAGAGACAAGGTTTTCCCATGTTGTCCAGGCTGGTCTTGAACTCCTGAGCTCAGCCAAAGTGCTGGGATTCCAGGCATGAGCCACTGTGCCCAGCAGTGAAGCATTCCTTATGCCCTATACCATTATCTTATTTGATCCTGACAATAGCTTGCCAGGAAGGTGTTAACAACTCTCATTTTATAGATGAGGAAACTGAAGTTCAACGAGTTTAAGTAACTTGCCTAAAGTCATACAGCTAGTAAGTAGCAGAGCCAGGTGTTAAATCCAGGGCTGTCTGATGTCAGAGCTCATGAATTTTCTCTTACTTACACTCCCTTCATTTGATGCTCAAAGCTCCAGAGAAAAATGTATGTATACAAGACATTTTTGTTGGGTTAAGTGCACTGGTTGAGTGCAGGACAAATATTCCCTCTAAATCTCTACCTATTCAGCCTCCCCAGGGATACATCAGACTACTCTTCAAATATAGTCTTCCCATGTCCCTGACCCACCTAAATTGTTTACTCTTTCTTTAATATTATTATAATGGAACTTGTGGTTTATATTTGAAATGAATTGTATATTGTTACTCGAAGTGCATATGAGAGGCAATGCTATGTAAAGCCTAACATAAAGTGACGAATAAAACTTTATATACCTACATACTTACATGTGTATAAAATATTGCAAAATAAAATAATATTTAAAGAGATGTGCATTTATTTTTGTCATTCTGATGCAGAACTATACTGTATTCTGACTATTTATAAAGTTATTTCCTTACATGTTTTCTATTTTTTTTCCATCCTGTCATTCTTATTCCCCCGGTAATCTCTATATATCTAAGGAAGAGGAAGCAAGAAGTTGTTCCACCTGTGTTTACTAATTATAGTGCTAGTCCTTTGTATATAGTGTTTGTACTTTGTTAGAATGCTGATTATCTCTCAAGCAGCTAACCCTACTTAGACCTGACAACAATTTAAATTCAAATATCTTCACAGCAGGCAATTTTATTAATGTTTTATATGGTACGCCAGAGAAGTGAGCTGATTTGGGTGTGTTTGGTTTGGGCTTTATTTTTTCTTTCCATTTTTGGTAGAAGATTGTGCTTTAGAAAAGTATGTTCAGTTGACCTATACCATCGGGAAACTTGATTGAATTGTTCAACCCATAGGCCACAAGCCTGAACCCAGGAGATACCAGCTCCAAGAAAAAGCAGTGTGTTCTATCTCTGTGACTGATTTCATTTTTGGATTCTCTTTTGAGTCTGCCAATAAGTTCCAGATGGGAGGTGCTGGTTTTTGAGAGGCAAGTTACCTGTTCACTGGGAGCGGAGGGAGACCACTTGTTTGGGGCTCCCACAAATGACAGATGGCAGTGACTTTGGTCACTGATGATGTTGTCTGGACTCAACTCAGCTTAGAAGAGAAAGAAACCATAATACCTTGTAAGAATTTCCTTTGCTCCACCCAGTTATTCTAGTAAAGGAAAGAAGATTTGAAAAGCTAGGACTCCAATGCCACCTGTGCCACGCTAACATCTGGACGTGGGCTTGAGAGAACCTCCCTGGAAACCGAAAAAGAAAAGATAAAAACCCTCTAGGTCATAGGTGTCCAATCTTTTAGCTTCCCCAGGCCACACTGGAAGAAGAAGATTGTCTTGGGCCACACATAAAATACACTAATACTAATGATAGCTGGTGAGCTTTTTTTTTTAAAAAAAAAATCTCTTGATGTTTTAAGAAAGTTTGCAAATTTGTGTTGGGTGGCATTCGAAGCCACCCTGGGCCACATGTGGGCCACGGGCTGTGGGTTGGACAGGCTTACTCGAGGTAATTGTGCTCCCTAACTCTGCAGAACAGCAAGCCTCCCTCCACAAGCAGATCATAGTTGAATGGGGGTCGGGTGAGGTGGAGCTCTTGGTTTGTGAGAATAGTCAGCAATGGAATGGCTGGTTGGTTATACAAATTAAAATTGATTTGCATTCATCTAAAAAAATTAGTAAATACAAGATGCCTATTATGTACACATATGTATTGCAGAAAGACTAAATACATGATAAAATGTTAACATACATAACTTTTTTAACGGAAAAAATGTTTGGAAAGGGGTTGCTGAATTCTGGGTTTAGTTTCCTTGGGAAAAAGTAATTTGAGATATCCTAAAGTATCATATCTGGCCAGATGCAGTGGCTCATGCCTGTAATCCCAACACTTTGAGAGGCCAAGGCAGGCAGATCACCTGAGGTCAGGAGTTGGAGACCAGCCTGGCCAACATGGTGAAACCTCGTCTCTACTAAAAATACAAAAATTAGCCGGGCATGGTGGTGAGCGCCTGTAATCCTAGCTACTCGGGAGGCTGAGGCACTAGAATCCCTTGAATCCAGGAAGCAGAGGTTGCAGTGAGCTGAGATTATAACACTGCACTCCAGCCTGGGCAACAGAGTGAGACTTCATCTCAAAAAAAAAAAACGTATCATGTCTGATCAGTGTACCATGGCCGATGTGAAGGCCGGCTCAGACCAGCCAGAGTGCAATAGAACATTTAAAATTTGTCTTGAAGTTCTTCAATTTAAAAAGAACATAAGGACACCTTTACATCCTTTAGTGCTCTTTTTCAGAATTCCTTGTCTTCTGTTTGGAAAATAACTTTCATACTAATATAGTGGAATTAACCAATTCCATAGGCTTTGGAGTCTTAAAGACCCAGATTCAAATACAATTTTGACCTTTGGTAAATGACTTAACATCTCCAAGCCACAGTTTCCTCACAGGTGGAACAGGGTACTTATTTTACAGACTTGTGAGAATTAAGTGAGATTATACATAAATAGCATTTAACACAATTGCTGTCAGATGGTAAGCACTCAGTAATTGTCAGATAGGAATATAATCACAGCTACCCCCTTTTCTATTTATACTGCTTCCACTTGAGTCCACTGTTCATATTACTAACATTCTAGCTGCTGATGTGTGGGTTTCATGGGCAACACAGTAGATCACTTAGGAACATGAACTCAAAAGTCCCACTGCCTGGGCTCAATTCCTGTCTCCCCTATGTATTGGCCCTTTGACCTAGGGTAATTGATTATATTTCACCTCTCTGATTCAGTCTGCTCACCTTTAAGATAGGAGTGATAATGCCTAGTTCCTAAAGTTACTGTGAGCACCAAATGCGTTAATTCATTAAAGCATTAAAGTACTTAAAACAATGCCCAGCTGTAGGAAACTCTCAGTAACTATTAGCCTTTCCCACCCCCCACCCCCCGCTCCCCGAGACGGAGTCTGGCTCTGTCACCCAGGCTGGAGTGCATTGGCAGGATCTCGGCTCACTGCAGCCTCCGCCTCCTGGATTCAAGCAATTCTCCTACCTCGGCCTCCCAAGTAGCTGGGATTACAGGCATGTGCCACCATGCCCAGCTA